CCCATCTTGTCCTGTTGGTCCTGTCATACCCATATCACCTTTCATCCCTTTGTCTCCAGTTGGCCCAGTTGGCCCAGTTGGCCCATCTTGTCCTTGCATACCTTTTTCACCTTTTTCGCCCTTTTGTCCTTTCATGTCATTTCCATTTCCAGCGCATTCTTTGGCCATTGTTAAAAATACTACTAAACTTATCAGGAAGCACTTCATGGCCCTGTAACGGAACGTTTTATAAACATAAATTAGGTCACAATGGGTAAGTCTTTTCTATAGCAATGATTTTAATAATTTTTCCTTTATCACCAGGTACGCCATATTTAAACAATTTACATGACTGGTATAAATATCCATCAGTATCGCTATATGCAAGGCGCTTTTAATGGGTTTCTATCACATGTCGTCTAAATAACACTTTTTGAAATTCATTTTTGAAATCATTCCGAAATCGATCTCCAGCTGTGCATTCATATTTTAATATTGTAAAAAACCCTTTCACCGCCAGAAAGAAACTAACAGAAGAGCCTGGGACTCAATCAGATTGCTGTATTCGCGGATCGATTAAGTTGCGTTCGAAATTATTCCGAGCTCAAGCGCAGTATTCATGACATACCTCGAAAGCTGTTGCATTAGCGCACAGAAACCCTTCATATCAAAAGCTTACACTGCAAATTAAGTGCGACGAGAAGTTAAAGGGATAACAACTCTTCATATGAGATCTATATTTCACAATAAATATCCCCTCCGGACAATTCCCCCCAGGACAATCCCCCCCCCCAGGACAATTTCCCCCCGGAAGAACCCCCCCCCCAAGAAATATATATTTTAATACAAATATAAAGAAGAAAGTGTAATGTTTAAACGTTTCATCCATTTTATTAATATTTTAGTGTGATAATACAACTTCATCATGAAACAAATTATTTTATAAAAAATTCCCTTTTCATTGAGTACAAGTACAGGAAGATTTATTAAATATCTAATCAAAGTACAACCACCTATCCTTCAGGTTATGTACTTCTATCTCGAAAATTTCATGTACTCCATGAAAATAATTTGTTTAATACAATTAATATCATCTATCCTTGAGTTGCATCATCACACTAAGAAATATTCAGAAAATGGATGAAAAGATTTAAACTTTCTACTCTTTTCTTTATATTTGTATATAAATATATATTCTTCGGGAGGGGGGGTAGTCCGGGGAGGAATTGTCCGGGGGGGGGGGGGGTCCTGGTACCAATAAATACATTGTAAACACATCATAGAAATATGATATATTCTATTTAACCACAAAAATGGCAGTTGTAGCAATAAATCTGAAATCTGTGCTTGCCATCCAACCACGTGACCTCCATAGATGGTTATACTCTGTAATAATCCTTTAAGAGAATAAATGGAATTTTTTAATAAAGTAGAATCAAACAGGTTTAGAGAACGTAATTTTCTCAACGGTTTGGGACAGGGTATACTTTGGTGATAAAGGCAAAACTGATGAAATATCCCAGATTTTTGGTTTTGTTTTAAGGTCTAACATACATTGTAATGAAGTAGACTACGCTGAATATTTTAATTTAAGTCCACAGAGATAAAATGCCCCCCCCCCCCCCACCTCTCTCCACCCACCTATGTCGAAAACTTTTCAGATCACTTACCTGTGATAATCTTCGCCTGCTAATGTTTTTCGACAGTTGCGTTATGATTTAAAGATAAAATTGCAGCGTGTAATATGGCAGCTGACGCACCTCCTGTCATGCCATCATTCCCTCCTTCGGTTATGGTTAGAAAATAACAGTTTCGCGTTTATGGCCTGCGCTCGTGAAATTGCCCAGAGGTTGAACATTACCTGAAAGAATTCGAAACCATTTTAATCAGATTAGTGTGGTCTAGAGAATTTATTTCATTTCATTTATTAAGGTTTTAATGGCCTTATAAAAGATTACTGCACTAATTCATTTAAACTACGACGATTTAAAGGTATTTTCCCACAGAGATTTATATTGAGGTAATATGATGATCGAGCTATATAATCCGTTACTTTGCATGACTGTCTGTTGTTTGGTTTATTCTTTCTTTGCTGTATATTAAATTATATATAGTTATATTGTAAAATTGTAATTTTTGTTTAGTCTCCTTCCAGAAGTCCCTGTTCTTTGAGTATATGAGACATTTGAGCAAGATATGCAATTCATTTTTTATTTCTTTTGAACATATTTTGCAAATTCTTTCCTTTATGTCTAGGTATCCGAATATGACAAAACCAACATTGAGGTGCGACAAACAACGCCAACGGTCTTTTAAATCCACAGCTGTATACGTGTGCCAGACGACTTTTCACTTAAAGTGGTTTGTAAAACGATTTATCTGATACATTTGCAGTTCACTTCAATAATTATAAGTTGATGTTTTTCCTGTTTTTTTTTTTCTATAAGCATCTTATTAAGAGTAGCGTTTGGTGTAAGTTCACTTCTATCATAATCCAAAATTGTTTTTTTTTTTTTTTTTAACATTTTGGGAGCTACTAATATTAAATTTCTAATTCTGTTTGCAGACTATTATCTAAAAGCAAATAAAACAAATAAACTTCAGGCAAAGAGTCTCAACACTGTCCTCCCGGCTCCATCAATGAGGGGAAGTAATAAAATTTAATTTTGCCATTTATTTTTTTTCCATACGAGGTCGTGTGCCACCAAGCTCGGGTGTCACCTGAAGCGAATTTTAGGTGCAATCGTTCTTTCAGAGCAGTTCTTCACGGAACAGCCTTATATCCTGGCCCCGGTTGCACCCAAGAACTTAAGTCAGTTCCCTGGCTTAGTAGACTAGAATTTCCATGAGAGTGCTGTTACACTGCTCATGATAGGGTTGCCCATGTGACCATGTAACCTTGGTTATTAAGTTCTTAGTCAGGGAACCTGACTTAATTTTTGGGAAACCGGGGCAAGGTAAAGCAAGCAGTCTTCGCGCCAGAAAGGAATTTCGTCCTCCACTCCACCAACACCTCCAACTCTGTCTTATTATTCTTGGTTTGGGACCATCTTCTTAAATGGATCTTTAACATTCAGACAATCATCATCTTAATTTAAACTGAAACGTTCCGCATATATCTATATGATGCAATTGAATATGTATACAACATGACTACCATTCCTAAAACCTTTGCAGTAGATCTGATGGGATTTTAAAGGGAACTCAGTGAAATCCACGTTGTTGAAAAACAGACATAAAAGGGGGCGATTGCTTTATATTGTTGAAATTTACATTCAATTGCGAATCATGTCAGTGCGAAGCCTGAGGGCGAAGGAAACCGTGCTTATATGCGTTTGACTACCAATGTAATTTTTACACAGTGAGAAACTGAACAAGAAATTGAAAAAGTTTCAACTTTATTCGATTTAGGGATAAGCAATCCCCAAAGATGTCTCTTGCAAACGTGTTGGAGCTGAAGGACTTAGGCTGTATTCCCAGAGCTTTTAGATCGATCTATCCCCGCGGGGAGTCTCACAAGATTACTGTCAGATAATCCGGCTTAAATGTCCGTCCCGCCTACTACAAGCTGTAAGGGGGTAATTAACTTTTGTGTCCGCCCGGCTGACAGCTATTTAGCGTGAACCCCCAGGGAGTTAGGTCTATCTAAAGTAGATCGATCTAAATCTCTGGGAATGCACCCTTAATCACTCATTTTCTCAACCACGTCAATCATACGGTCAGGAAGTAAAGGGGCGGTTAAGGGGAATCCACGTGGATAATTTATCTGAAAGGTTAGCCACCACCCCTACTTCAAAAATTCTTGCTTTGCACCTGTTATGGTAGAAGATTTAAAAAGACATACATACCAAAACAGTGACAATTTTGACATTCAGACAATCATCATCTGTGAGCTATGCAGACTGCACTGAGTAGGCCTACGAGTTCGCGACTCTGAGGGAGCGAGTTGATGACTGACAGCTATGTACGAAGGATTGCCACAGGCGTTTTATAACAGTGCGTGGCAGTTCGCTAGTTGAGAAGTTGAACTGTTACTCGTTACGCCTACACACCTTTGAAGGTAATTTCCGAGCTAAACTTGATTTTAAATATGCTTTGCTTTAATTACCTTCCCCAAGGATGTAATGTTTGTGGTTCCGGTAGTCTGTTTGTCTGGCTGTTAGCTGTATTTTGAAAAAAAAAGTTATTGATGGATTTGAGTACATTTTTCAAAAACTGTCCGGGGTGAACAAGTTACAAACGATTCAAATTTTTGGGTGATCCACTGATTGATAAGTTAATTGATTGGTAAATATTAGAGTTAAACTGCCTTTATCAGGTCTGGGCTCTCCATGTACTTTTGTAGTATCTGCTGCATTGGTTTATAAGATTCCAAGATATCATAATCGTGATTATGCAAATCCTTCCCATAACACAAAATATATTTATTTATTTGTGATGCACGTACATACATGTACAGTAAGTTCTCAACAAGTTTTTTACTGGCGTTCCCCCCCCCCCCCCTGCCCACACACACACATGAATGTGTAAGGACTAATTGCAAATATTAATGGAAAGTTATTTCACATTCTGTCAGGGTTGCATTGGAAAGAATGAAGTCATAACTATTATCCCCCAACTCCGGTGACAAAAGTTGGGGATAATGTTAACCCACCCGCCCGACCGTTTGCAATTTTCGTTCACAATCCCCTGAAGGTTTTGAAACTTAATAAGGGATTGATAGACTTGTCATCAAGGGGATGTATGGGCCCCTGAGGTGTGGTGCTATCCCTGGGGGTGGATGATTCTTTTTTGTTTTTCATATAAAGAGTTGATACTCTTATATACCTTCGCATGAAGACAGATTCTTTTATCATGTTGCTATGATGTTTATTATGAACATTTAAGACCCATCCATTGATAATACATCTGATACAATACTTTATGTCAACCTCGTCTGGGAAAAAACAACAGTTTGGTAATCACTCGATGGCATACATCGAATGATTACCATGTACATCAACCTCCTCGTAAGTTCTGCGGTAACTGTTCATCACTAGTTGAAAGTCTAATTTAGTGATGTATATTAACACCTTTTGTGGGGAACTCATATGAATCCACAATTGTTGAAAAAAACTTGCATAAAAGGGAGCATTTATATTTTTATTGATGAAATTTACATTCAATTGTTTTCGCTCTTGGTGTCATACCAGCTGGAAACAGAGGAAAGCCTGGAGGTGGAGGAAAAACACGCGACATCACACATATTAGGTGATGGGACGCAGTGCTAAAAATATGTTTGACTACCAATATAATTTTTATTTCGTGAGAAAATGAACAGATAATTTTAACTGAATTCGATTTATGGATCCAGCAATCACCAAAAGGGTGTCGTTGGAGAAGTTTTGACTTTATTCGATTTAGGAATTAGCAATTACAAAAAGGTGTCTTCTACAAACGTGTAGGACCCAGGTGGAGGACGTGACCACTCATTCAGTCTACCACGACAGTCATACGGGAAGGAAGTGAAGGTTAAGGGGAATTCACTTCGATCTTGTGTGTGTGTGTTTGTATGTGTGTGTGTGTGTGTGTGTGTGTGTGTGTGGTCAGCCCCCTCCCCCACTTACAGTTTCTTGCTAAACGATTATTTTGGTAGAACATTCAAAAAAACTTTCTTACCAGCTAAATGACGAATTTAACTCTCACACAATTATTATCTGCAAGTTATGCACATTGCAGTGAGTTGGCTTACGAGTTCGATCCTCCGAGGGAGCGAGTTGATGATTGACAGCTTTGTACGAAGCATTTCCACAGGCGTTTCATAACGGCGCGTGCACGTGGCAGTTGATTGGTGGAGAAGTTGAACTCCTACTCCTTAAGTACCCGGCTGTATACCCTCCACCCGGGACGCAGGTTAATTATGTGCACTTCTCTCCAGGCCGACCCAGCAGATAGTTGTCCTGAGATATCAGGGGCCTGAAAAACAATTTACAAAGTAGAGTAATTTTGCCTCAGACTACCATCAGACTGAGCTTGTACGGTCAGAGAGTAGCAGATAGTTGCGTCACGCATTAGCCCGAGACATATCTGTGAATACCCAGTGAAAAACTGATCTGTGACCCTCGTAGAGTGTAGGGTATGTTCTTATGTGTTCACGCGTCTGAAAGTAACGGCATAGCCGTTTTGATCTTAATATGCTATGCTTACTTACCTCCTTACGGTCCCGTTAGTCTGCCTGTTAACAACAGTATGCAAAAATTTATGAACGGATTATGATGAAATTTTAATTTATACAGTGGCATACATTGAACAGTTACTGTCCATCACCAATTTATTGCCTCATTTCGTGATTTTTTAAAATACTTTATTGCCCTGAACTCGTTGAAATCCACAGTTAATGAAAAACTGACATAAAAGGGAGCGTTTAATTTTCGTTTATGAAATTTGCATTCGACTGCACTCGCAGTAGGTGCCATGTCAGAAATCGTCGCGAAGCCTGGGGTGAAGAAAAACACGTTATCACGCATATTAGATCAGTTGAACGAGTGCAGTGTTAGAAGTGCGTTTGACTACTAATATAATGAACAGAGAATTGGCAAGTTGACGTTATACGTTTTAGGAGTTTGCGGGCTTCCTTCACCTCGATCATGTTACTCCTGAGTGTAACACACACGAGTGCGCGCACACACACACTCATAAACACACGTCTCATGCAAAGGTGTACGAGCTTGGCAGAGGCCAAGCCCCACCATGTCAGTCATAGTAACGGACACTTCCTAACATGAGTGAAAACCAAAACGAATCGAGCAGCTGTTAATCACGACAATTAATAAAGATTAACGGTATATTTGCATTGGCCGGGGTTTTGGCCGTAGCTTTTGCCTTCAAGGAAGAGACCCTTAACGAGTAATGACTTCATTAAGTGTTTACGAAATGACACGATGACAGGGAATAGCAGTTTATCAACACGCACTCTTCATTTTATTTGGTTTCAAATACGTCTCCATTTGTTGATTTCAGCAAATCAGTTCAAACGTCTGTAAAAACTTGAACCAAAACCGTAACCATCAGTGATTGCCAAATAGTTTTATTATTTCAAAATCTGGTTGACAGTAAATACAGTAATGACAGAAGTTTTTTTTCGCAAATTGGACAAAAAACATTTTGGACAAAAAACTTAACATTTTACAATGCTATGTAAATGAAACCCTCAAAAACAATAACTGATCGCAATTCTACGAAAAACGTAACATTCTTTAAAATAAAAGCTGGACTGAAGTTCTCCCATAAATACACAACACAATGGCTCCTGCTGTAAGTTACTGTCACTAAAAACATTTCTAACCCAGTGAAAGCATGCATGCTGGCCATATTGTTATTTTGACTAGGCAGCAAAACTGGCAGATATGCAGACATGAATCTAATGAAAGGCAATTATAATGTACAAGCCACTTTCACAGACTATATGAAAGTAAGAGACCACCAAGAAACAAGCTGACCCTGTTGTAGACTTGAGACTTGACAGCAAATCTGACAGATATACAGGTACTAAAGGAAATTTAATGGACAGATTAAAATATCCAGGTAAAGCAAACAGAAGTATAGGGACAAAAATTAAAGCAATTTTCACTTTAACACCCAGGTTTAACACATTTGTTCATAGTAGTTAATAGTCTGCACAAATATATATATATATATATATATATATATATATATATATATATATATATACGAGTCACATCAGCAGCCCACTTCATGTAATATTTGCATAACCGTTGCATATCCCTTTTTAACTCCTAATGTTTTCTTTCCAAACTTGCGGTTACTAAACAGGGAAAATGATGGGGCAAGTCAAATTTATGTAAATATTGCACAAAATGAGGACTCAATGTTCACTTTTTTGTGAAATGACTGTGGAGGTTTAGAGTAATTAGTCAGAAGATTTAAAAATTTCGCAGTTGAATGGCAACCAATAAAGAGCTACATAATTTTCTACAAAGATAATTTGGAAATGCTTATCTTCCAACTTGACATGCATTTCCATTAAAAGAATAGCAATAAAAACTCCCAGCAAAAACAAAATAAACACAGGCTGTTGGTGGCCTAAAAAATGCATCATATGCAAATCACCTCAAAATGTAAAATATCTTTACAATCATATATTAGGAGAAATTCTTATACTATTCAACTTCAACAGTTTTTACAAATATTACTGGAACAGACAATAAAATGCTGTTATAAATAAATAAATAAATAAATAAATAAATAAATAAATAAAAAGATATCATCTCAACTGGATATCTAATTATATTCAAAGGTGCATGCTGGAAAACTATTTTTGACAAAACCAAAGCTGTCGAAAGAAATTTTGAAAAAAAAAAAAAAAAAATCCTGTAAAAAGCAGATATTGTAAAGTAAACCTGCCTTAACCACCATGCAATTCTTTCCATTATTCAAATATGAGATTACACTTTCAAACATGGCACAGCAAACTACAAAACAAATCTATGAAAAAAAAAAAAAAAGATAATGGCATAACTTAACATATACATATAACCTCAAGTAAGTATAGAAATTGAATAGTTAAAGTGTATAACATAATCAAAAGACTACACTGATGAATTTCCATCAAAATAAATATTTCTTCTGCAGAGTACTTGTTTGTACAAATAAATGTCATTTGGAAACTTAATATAAGCGGTGCAAAGTTCATCACGTGGTTTCATACTTTAAAACACAAAATGATATATAGATGGACATGTGGAGTCAAATATCTATGCCCAAATGATATACCTTCAAATTGCAACATCACCAATATATAAATCTCCGACAAGTTAAAGGCAATACTTATTGCCTGTGGTTTATGTAAATGTGCAGATTTCAAATTGCTGGGACATAAATAATTACCCTTAGATTTGGTATTGAATCAAAATCACAATAAGTTATAACCGTGATCTTTTAAAAAAAAATAGAGGAAAAAAGACCAGGCACTTGATAAAATTCATGCAAACAAAACAATTAAGAACTACTCTCTTTTCAGGAAAGATTGAGATTAAATGCAATACCTGACGGTGGGCTCAGAAATAAATAGGTAAATTTAAGCCAATAAATACACTTTAAAAAATTTTTTTTTAATTTAAAAAGAAGGCAAACCCTGTCTGTTTTCAAGAAATTCTTACACACAGTTATTCAGGTAAAAGACTTTGTTTTAAAACTGGAGATTCTTCTTGTGTGTCATGTCATCTGTGCCAGGGCGCTGTGTGCAGCCTAGTGTTCTGACAGGTGTAAGTTCCAACACAGCGTCGCCACCCTGAAAATAAATCAATAAATAACTACACAATAACGATAAACACCTTGACAATACTGTATCCAGACCAGTAATCTCTTAATATTGGGAAACATTGGGATTACACAGTATAATTTTCATTCCCATAATATGACTAATATCATAAATGTACTACATGTGTCTTAGAGTGCATTCCCAGAGATTTAGATCGATCCCACTAGATCGACCTAACTCCCTGGGGGTTCACGCTAAATTGATGTCAGCCGAGCGCGCACGGTAGTTAATTACCCCCTTACAGCTTTTAGTAGGCAGGACAGATGCTTAAGCCGGCTAATCTGACAGTAATCTAGTTTGACTCCACACAGGGATAAATCGATCTAAAATCTGTGGGAATGTGGTCTTAAATGTCTGTTGTAAAAATCACTCTGCTGGCCCCCATTTCACAAAAAATCTTAAATTCGTAGTTGACTAGCTCGAGCTGAGTGACCTAGCTAGGTCGACTATGCTGCAGTCGACTAGGAGTGTTTCACAAAGAATCTAACATCTTAGCTTGGCGTGCTTACCGTAGTCGACGCGCACGAGAAACTCTTCAAGAAAAGGAGGTGTAAAATTTCTAAAGTTTCATAAGACATGACGTTTCATGGCCTCTTTCGGCTGAGAACGATCGTTTATCAACAATAAAGATCAGTCAAAACATGAACAAAGTTTGTTTTTGAACTTTATTGATTAGTTTAACTTCGATACAACTTCAAAGTAACAGTTAAACATTAGCTTGTCGTGGAACACTGCTGACGGACGTCTAGCGGTCAAAAACATAAACAAACACATGATCGGCTGGGTGAAGTGGCATTTTATTTTTTATTTCAATATTCCATAAATGTCAGTGCTATTCAAGGATATTATAACACAATATCTTGAAGGAGGTATGTTCTTTCCAAATTTTTGTTGTTTATGCTCTCATTTACCGAGTTTTAGTTGAGCTTGCCGACTTAAGTCTCCTCCCGAGGAGGCTAGACATCATCGACTAGCAGCTAAGGAAAAAACGACATAAGCGACCTTTTAGATTCTTTGTGAAACGGGACTTAGTGACGTAACGACTTAATTACATTGGTAACCAAGCTCTTAGTCAGGGAAACCGACTTAAGTTTTTTTTGTGAAACGGGGGCCTGGGCTGTCCCTGCAGTTCTCACCTTGGGCAGGGGCATATCTTTCTTAATGCACCATTTAATGAAAGCCTTTCTGGTCACATTTAGTGTTCCAGGGTCAGTTCTTCTGCAGTATATTCTGAGAAGCTGCTCAGCAAAGGTTTCTGGCAGTAACTGGGAAACCTAAAAATACAGCAAGTCGACAATGTATAATGATATCTCTATTTTCTAGTTGGGGGAGGTGGGGGGGATACTGCAAAATAATATATCATTCTGTGAAAATTATTCTTTGGCTCAAGTTGACTTTTTTTTTCACAAATAATATAAAAAGCTGAAAATTCAAATTTTGAAATAAATAATTATCTTTTTTTTTTTTGGTTTGCTCAAGAATTGTTCAAGCAAGTTTCAGGAGACATGCATTACACATAAACAGACATGAGCCCCGGTTTTAGAAAATAAAAACTCTGAACATTTATTGTGGAACCAAACACCTCATGTAAATTTTTGGAGGTTTAATTGCTCTGGGGTCATGTAAAAGAGCAGAATTCTGTGATTCAGTGGAAAAAGCTCATGTCTGCATAAATGAAGGCCAGACTATTTTAATGAAAATAAAAAAAGTTTTTATCTGAATTTTACGATTACCTGGTCTTTCCTGACACGAATAGCCACCTCTGGGTTGTTTTTCTTGTAGAATCTCACATTGTCTATAGGATTCTTCTTCTTCATTCCATAATCAAGGTTTATCACCTGAATAATATCAATATCAAAATGAAATTGATTGTAAAGAAATAACCTGCCACAAAATGGTTCATGCTGGAGAAAAATTCAAACAAATGTTGTGTTAAATCTAAAATTCTGACAAATTCCAATTATTGAGGTTACATGGAATATTTAGGAGCTACAACTAATTTGTTACTAGCAGAGATATGATACTGTACCCCAAACATCTTAATTTTTGACAAAACATTAAATCAAACTAGTGACACAAATAAACTTTAGTTCATCAACCTGTAAACTGGTGTAAAATTTGGGACCAAATTTCTATCTCCTGCAACCCAAGATAAACAGGATGGGTCGGGACTAAAACCATGTGTACTGGCAGCACCATGCTGGTTGTACAATAAGTAGCTGTCCAAATTAACAAAACTTTATTCCTCTTTTACACAAAGAAAGATGGGGTAAATGTTTCAGAAACAGAGATAGTTTATTCCTGTGGACCTCTACTGATTTATCTTGCACTGAATTGGACCAAATAATTTGTTAAAAAGTCTAAACCAAATTTTGAGCTCAATTATAGCAATGAATTGGACCAAATAATTTGTTAAAAAGTCTAAACCAAATTTTGAGCTCAATTATCTTGCACTGAATTGGACCAAATAATTTGTTAAAAAGTCTAAACCAAATTTTGAGCTCAATTATCTAGCACTGAATTGGACCAAATAATTTGTTAAAAAATCTAAACCAAATTTTGAGCTCAATTATCTAGCACTGAATTGGACCAAATAATTTGTTAAAAAGTCTAAACCAAATATTAAGCTCTGCCTCTTTCATGAAACCTAACCCTTTGATGTGAAGTACTTCTATTAGAATTACGTACTTACATCTAACAGAAAATCTTCTGCTCTGAGAGGCCTCTCTGCCTCCTCAAGGTCATCAGGGGTCACGATATCACAGATTTCTTGGGCAAATACCTCCGTATCTTTCTGGAATGGGAATTGTTATGAAATTGAAAACAAGACTTAAATAAATTTTCTTTTTTTTTGCAGTTTAGAATAAACAGCTAGGAATATTTTTATGTGACCTTAGAAAATATAATTACATCCAATTATAACATTTGGTAAAGGGCTGGCAGACAATAGGTTGAACAGACCTGGTAATGGAATAATGGAGGCCACAACTTGTTTTAAATAACAAATGGATATAATATTACTTGACAAAAGGATTTTAACAACAATAAAATTGAGATAATGAGAAATTTGAATCTGTGTATTACTGGATCTTATGTTGAAACAGAGATGAAGATGTTTTGGCATTATGGCAAAGTCATTTTCAGGTAAACTAATTTTGACTTGTCAACGTTGTCACATGGTGATGTTCTGAAAGTTAGAAACGAAAGTTGACAGTAAAAATACACACCCAGACCAATATTTGAACTTTGATACCAACCACCCTTTGGTACACAAGCTTGGCGTGATCTGCACCCTCACCTCCAGGCTCCAACACAAATGTCAGTGATGAGGCGGAGATGGAGGTGAATAAATGAATGAAGTACATCCAGGGTGCACTAGCGAGCTATGGCTTCCCAGACTGGTCCTTTCACAAAGCTACATATACACAACTAGGTAAGGACAAAGTTGGAGACAAGAAGAATTACTTAAATGTTCCAGTGTTTCCAACTCTACATAAGGTCCAACAATACATTAATGGGTCTTCCTACAAAAAAATATCCTTTCTTTTATTGCCATAAAGACTTTTATAACGTAAAGAAACTGTCTGATAGACTAAAGAAAATTTTCAGTCATTGCTGTTTTGTAACATCCTACCAGCCATTTAGCACCCTCAGCCTGAGAAACCAGTTAGGTTATGTGAACAACAGAATGCCCAAAAAAAAGGTGCCCAATGGTGTCTATGATGTAAGATTTAAGGGCAGTGAATGCAAAGACTCATATGTGGGGGAAACAAAACAGTGTATAAAAAAGCAGAATGTGCCAACACAGATGGCCTAGCTCAGGTGACACATAAGACTTTGTATTTACCCACCTACAAAACTCCAGCCATACTTTTGACACAAAAGTCGTCATGATCCTTGATAAAGAATATAAGTGGTTCAGACGAGGAGTGAAAAAGGCCATTCATGAGCAGATTGAAGAACCCACCAAGCACTGTGGTCTGAGATACCAAATATCACATCAGATTCTGTAGGACCGGACCCTGGGAGACTGCTGTGCAGAACATCACCAGACACTGGTGACCATTCTAAACTAGTTTAGTACCTGAAGAAGACCTTGCAATGAGGTTGAAATGTCATGATCATGTTTCACTGTAAGTTCCAGTATTAAAGTCAATTTTCTCATTATCCCAGTAAAAATATAACTTGATGAATCAAAATATTCACTATGATAACAATTAAAATCATTTACATACAATGAAAAGTTGACAGCCCTGAGGTGATAATAAAATGTATTCTCCAACAGTTATTGTATGTGCTGTACTGAGCAACCACCCCTTTGAGGAATTTAAACCGTGAACTCACAATAAAAAAATTTCACCACAAACTCATATAAACAGTATGGAAAATTGTAGGGAGCAGCTGAGAACCCTACAGCCATCACGCAGGTGTCTGTTCAACCAGCAGAATAATAATAACACAGTTCTGAAAAAAATTCGGCAAAATTTGCCTAAACACCAGATATGGGCCTGTATCAAAGAAATACATGTTTTAGTCTGTACACAATCTTTCTGGTCAACCCTGAATACACATCACTGTATTATCACATTTGCCATGTTTAAGGTGTAATACACATAACACAACAGTTCATATTACACAAACATGGGTAAACTCAAAACAAAAATTCAACAAGTTTATATCAGCTAGAGAGAGAGGCCCATCTCCACTTTTAAAGAGGTCATCTAAACAGCAACCTAAAAATGGTCTGATAAGAATGTACACTGCTCTTTATTCAAATAATTCACAAAACTGAAAAAAAGTTACTTCTGAAGACCTAAAACAATATAAAATACATTATTGATGTAATTCTAATAACTTATATAGAAAAATACCATCATTCTGATTTTCAAGCTCAATCTCCCTCAATCTAAGTACCTCCAAACTAATTCTGGGCAATATAACAGCGGAGACAACATGGAGAGTGAGGTAATCATTATCATGATATTATTTAAAAGATTCATACAGTACTCTATCGGTATATAAAAATGACAATAAAAACAACAACAATAACAACAACAACAATAATAATATTACCTTAGTTATGGTCAACTCTGCCTTTGGAACAGTCTGTCCTACACATTTGTAAAGCACCCTCTTCTCAATATTTCTCAATATGTCACGAGCACCAGCAAGGTTTGGATTATGCGAATTCAAAATCTGGTGGAACAAGCTGTCATTGAGCTTTGTGTAGGCTACTACATCTTCCATAGCATTGGACAAATGGTAGGTTTTACTGGAATACAAAGACTGCAAGGTAAAAAGAGGCAGACATTTGTGTTTTCTTGAATGTTCATTCCATATTCAAGAAAGCACGACTTCTTGACTTCTAAGCAATAAATTGCTGCCAGTGGATATAAAATCAAATAGAAAAAATATTTCAAATGAATGACTGACTGAATTTCATGCAATTTTCTTTTCACACTGAAATACAATTATTGAGAGATTATAATACTAAGGGATACTAATATAAATTCCATTCTTTGAGAGAAATATAGAAACTTTTAACCTTTAAGGTAACACCACATAACATCTTTAAAGAAAACAAGAATTAGTTTTCATAAAAAAAGCCCATGTGATTTCCATTTAGATATCACATATACATAATCTTGTGCACTATAAAACTATTTGAATCCAGTTTCAATCAAACCCTTGGGCTACCTAGATATTACATTAAATAAAAATATAAGAAACTTATCAAAATAACAATCAGTACAAATGAAAACTAGAATACTACTAACAAGTGAAAAGTCATGATTACATATGAAGATGTAACACAACTAGATAAAATAGGGTGACTATATCCTCCTAAACTACAAATCTTAAAAATCATTTTGGTGATAGTCTAAAGGAGCACCACCTACAACTTACCCATCTCTCCCTTCTAAGTCAAAATGTGGGTCAGCTTTTGCAAAAGCTTCAGCCATCCTGAAAAACAATTTTAAAAAATAAAAGACTTAAAAAATATCTATAATCATCTGCCATCTTCACTGTCTTTTAATCTGTTACCCTGAGTTTCAGATCCAATGCCTGCTAGCTTCTTCCTTTTTTCTCCTTATTTCTAAGCCATATCCAGCAATTGATAACGCAGATAAATTTCCAGTAACCTATGACACTCAGGGTGGGTGAAAGGAAATAATGGAAAAAACCCCCTAGGGGTGTATTCCCAGAGATTTAGATCGATCCAGGATTTAGATCGACCTAACTCCCTGGGGGTTCACGCTAAATTGCAGTCAGCCAAGCGCGCACCATAGTTAATTACCCCCTTACAGCATTCAGTAGGCAGGACAGACGCTTAAGCTGGCTAATGCCCCTATTTCACACAGACCACGAATCCCACGAATGGCCATGAATTGACAAATTTTACGATTCGTGGTTGAATCGTAATCAGTTCGTGAAGTTCTTAACAGATTCGTATATATTCGTAGTCAGTTCTTGCACTTCTTGACCAACAGGAATTGGTGGCAAAAACTTTGATGCTCCTATTTCACACAGACCACGAATCGCCAGGAATTGAAAATTTCAGGATTCGTGGTTGAATCGTAATCAGTTCTTAATGGATTCGTATATAATCTTAGTCAGTTCTTGCAATTCTTGATCAATCGGGCATTCGTGGCAAAAATTTTGAGCTGTTTAAAGTTTTGGCCATGAACTTCCGATTCCAAAAAATCGTAATGAATTTCTGGACAATTCATCACTTTACAGTTGTACGTCGACAGGAAACTCGAACTGCATTGTGGGGGGAAAAAAGAGCGCGAACTCATGGCGCAAAGGCTCTTGAACACAAATAATGACTACCTGCTGTGTTTCAAGTTGCAGAAATGATAGAAGGTATCGAGAAAGGTAATTTCCCCCCAATTTTACGATCATGGACCAGAGTGTGTGATCGTCGAGGTTATTCTCCATTATTCGGATACTCGCTGTTTTTGTTTTGCTCTATTTTTTCCCACAATGCAATTCTCACGCATGCGTGCAGCGATTTTGTAAGTATCTGTAAAGTGGTGAATATTCGTGCGATTCCAGCCGAATCCCACGAATATTCGTAACACTATCGCACCTGTAGCGTAACTGAATCGTAGAGCGTGTCGAATTAGACCAGAAAATTGGCAAAATCTCACGACTCCAGCCGAATCCCATGAATATTCGTAACACTATCGCACCTGTATCGTAACTGTATCGTGAGCGTGTCAAATTAGACCAGAAAATTGGCAAAATTTCACGAATCCTCTCGAATCCTGAAATTTGTCAATTGCTGCCAATTCGTGGGATTAGTGGTCTGTGTGAAATAGGGGCCTAAGCTGACAGTAATCTAGTGAGACTCCCCACAGGGATAGATCGATCTAAAATCTATGGAAATGGGGTCTAGAACTCAGAAGAATAAACCCCCTTATAAAAACTTTTAGAACTTAAATTACTGTACTTAGTATCATTTTGACTTTTTTTATATAACTTACATTATTTCCACTATCCTGTTGACCTTATGCTGGTAAGCCCTCCTATGCAGGACATTTCTGGTATGAAACATGTCATACAAATTCCCCACCTCCTGAAACGAAACAAAGATGTGAAGACAAGAAAATTGTGACAATTGCTGACATTTAACTTATTTCATAATAAAAAAATGATCATCATATAATCAAATCAGTTGTAAATTTGATATCTTAAAGTCTGCAGTGTTAGTACCAGCCCCGTGCCATATACCAGTAAAACTGAAACCTGACCAATAACATGTCTTAGATTTCTTCAGTTACTGGTCACTGTTTCTGCTTTTGAATTTTTTAATATTTTGTGAGTTTCACCTTATCCCTGGAGCAAATCTGTAGATGTCCATCCACTCTAATAACTCTGGCAAACTTTATGAATCTGTTGTGGTCAAAGATGCTGTTGATTCCCAAATGATAGCAGTCTCTCTCAAAGTAGTCCCATTTGTCCACATCTATCCCATTCCTCTTGTTGGCAACAACCTAAAATTAACAGAATTGTCTCTTATATATGCCAGATAGGTGCTATAACTCTGGGCTAATAAGGATGTAAAATAACACCAAGCAAAAAAAAAAAAAAAAAAAAAAAACTTGATCTGAGAATGCCCACTTTTCCCATTGCAACCCCGACAATTTGTAAATCTTTCGGTTTTGGATGATTTTGCAATCATTATAATTTTTTGGTTGGACTGGCAATGATTTATTTCTTTAATGACCGAGTAGGTAAATTCATGTTTTCAGTGATAAAGATACAGAATAAGCGTAAGCTACATACCTCATACAAAAAACTTTTTTGCTCTTTTCGCCCGAAGTAGTTCCAACCCTGAAAATAGAACATAAAATTACATTAAAAAACTAACATTTGATACAGCAAAATATTTTACTTCATATTTTAACCTTCTTTTAAAAATCTAACTAGTGGTGAATGGCATCACTTTTCATGCAATACTCTCTTTTCCCTCACCACAAAACAATGGAACATTAAAACATTAATTTAGTTTTATAATGATTTTTTGATTCTTGTGCAAAAGGACCATTTAAATTTTGATCCTTGTAGTTTTGCCCACAATTTTATCCCAAATTGCATCCAGCTTATTTCGAGAAACTTGTGGTATAATCATAAAAACTACTTATTATCAAACATACTCTAAGGTATAAGATATAATGACAACTTTTGCTTTTTCTTTCCTGAGCAACAGCAGAGGTATAACTAGCAATGGCAATGATCCTAAGCTGTTATACTGGACTAACATATCAATGTTACATTATCCAACAGCAAGTGCCAGAGCTTTTTGTTACAGTAGTAATATCAAAAACTATGCAATACATTGGCCATAATAGAGCAAATTAGATGTGTAAGGGAAAATTAAATGCATTAGTTACTACCAATCACCTGTTGCACATCCCTTTCCTGTGGCCCTGCAATTTGTTCTTTGATAAAGACCCTGTCCCTCTCTCCCAGCCCATACTCCTCAAATATTGGCTTCAGATCATTGTCTTCCACTAAATAATCAAACATTTTCACAGAACTGTCTTCGTGCTGAAAAGAAAATAATGTTGAAAAAGTTAACTAATAAGGTCAAACAGGTACCTCAAACAGTTCTTTAGCAAACTACCCTCACCCACGTGAATTAATCCATATGTCATACCAATACAAGTATGTCCCCCCCCCAAAAAAAAAAGTATGTTTGGTGATGAACACCAATTTAAAAGCAACACATTTAGAGTTTGTTCAACAAAGTTTTACTTCAAAGGATTTTTAAATAATGTAATAAAAATTTTAAAATTATTGTAAAGGGTTAGTAAATAATGTTGGTTTGGCACCAAAATCCCAAAACAGTCTCTTGAACTCATCATGAGCATTAGAGGTCATTGGAAAATCACCTCTCTTTAATCAGCATGAACCAGTCGTTTCCATTTACAGTTATAGAAACTGGCCAAGTCATGTTTATAATACAAAGGTGAGTTTTCCAGTGACCTATGAGTCTTGGGAGTGCTTTAAAGCAGTCTACACAATAAATTAATGCTGCCTTACCCTCCACTTTATACCCTGTCTAACCATAGGAATGAAAAGTCCATCCCACAAGTGTGAGTAGGGGCCATGACCTGCAGTTATAAAGTATAGGGTGTTATATTTCACTAATAGGCTTTTTTTCTTTTATTAAAAAAGGGTAAAGGTAATAATTTACACAGGTGTACATACAAATATAAAAAAATGCTACACATCCTTTTCAGCTCATTTGAAAACACTGTTTGTCGAAAAACATTTTAGACTGATCATTCAAAAACTCACTAGTATTAGTATTCTTGCTAGTACAATTTAGAAAAGGGTGTGGTCAAAATCTGGTAATTGATAAATTTTATTCCTAATGTTAATAGATTACTGCCTGATATTGTCCTACTGCCATCCAATAAATTGGCTAGTACAATAAGCAATGGGTGGAATAACATGGAATAATGCCCATATCTCTGCAACCCAAAAGCAAACAGTCACCACAAGGCCAAACTACCTAAATATATAACCATTCCCATTCCCTTTATCAATACCCTAAGACTGGGTTCCCATGCCTAGATCGATCCATCTGGATCGGTCTAACTCCCTGGGGAGTCTCACTAAATTTCTATCAACTTAACCAGCTTAAATGTCTGTCACGCCAACCAAATCAGCTAGGGGGTAAAGATAATTACCCCCTAACAGTTTTACTAGGCGTGATAGACATTTAAGGTACGGATGTACCCAAATATAGCTAAAAATCGTCATTTTTGGTTTTTTTTGTCTAATTATTGGTTAAATGTGTATCTAACGTTTAACAGAATAAAATTTTTACATTTTGAACAAAAAAAATGTTTTTTCTGAGGATTCTGATTCTGCACACATCGGCACCGGTGGCCTGGTCTATGCCCCGCCTTCGTTGTCAAGGGCCGTTAGCATGGGTAAACTCGGTGGGCGGACCTTAGCAGCATCAGCACGTCTAGGGAAACAATAGAACAGGGATGCGCCATGTCCCCTTTGTCATAAACAGCGATCGGCAAAGCAGTGCCTATTGTTCCGCTTAAGCTGTTTTGATAGTCACTCTTGATTGTGATCAGCGCTAAGATGAATCTTTTCCGACACATTGGATTTGCTCGAAATATGCATTCTCCCTTGAATATAGCTTGTTGTTACACGCGCTCTTTCGATTTTCTTGTCAACTTTTTGAGATACGCAAAAAAAGAAGAAAATTCCCTTGCTTGCTACCCGTGACAACAATCGTCATACTTTCTATCCATTTTCGACAACAGCTCGATGCAGTTGTTAGATTTTAAAAATCTTAACATGGGCGTAACTAGGCATACGCACGGATGCACTGTGCGTACATTTTTTTGGCCAACCATGATATTATTTTATATAAATTTAGTGTATTTTTCACGGAATATAAAGAAATTCTCTGCTTATTAAAGTCACCTGTATGAACAAATCCTCTGTATCAATTGTATAGGCACAATTGTTCTGACACCCCCCTCCCCCCGTCTTGCATACTTTTATTGAACTGAGGTAAACAATGCCTGAAACCTTAACAAGTTTTATCTAACTGGAATCTAGTCCATCTAACTGGAACTTCCTTTACCTCTTAATTGGAGGATTCAGTGGCCCACAACTCTCCTGAAGCCTCACTGGCGATATTTAGCTCAGGTAAAAATCTACCTGAATGTTATTTTCAAAGAGCAGCTCCCGCAACCCTGAGGGCACTAGATAAAATCTGGACACCAGGTTTTATAAGGAGCTAGAGAAACAAAGGAAGGATTTTTCCTGCAAAGCGTCAAATAATTTTGAAACGGAGTTGACCCAGCTTTTTATTCAACAATTATCGCAGAATTTTTCCTGGCTCACCCAACTTTAGACATTTCCTTTAACAAAAACTTTTTGGTTGCGTCTATTTCTTGTTGTTGATGGTCCGATCGGCATCCTGTAACACGACCGTGTTTTCGAACCATTTTTCGCTTGGCGAATGTGGACAAGACCGCCTGCGATGCTGCTATTGTGTGCACATCCTAGAGCGCATCCCTAACACTTTCCCCGACGGCAATTGACGTGGCCACTGATTGCTTGAGTCATTAGGGTTTACTTGATTGCCTGTCAATCATTCCGGCAGTGCTAGCAGTAACCCCTTGAAGTTACTAACAGGAGGTGAGATTGATACAAAAATAAGATTTTTTGACATCCAAATGCATGCAAACAAGCTAATTTCAACCGGCAATAGAGTACCCATCTTCGCGATCGTCAGAACAATAACAGGTAAATCTGTCAACAATTTAATTTGCTAATTTGGACAATTAACCTCCCTGAAAGGGTTTTTGCTCGTTTTCTTTGCTTTCAATATTGACGAGATAGCGTTATCTTAGCAAGCTATAACTGTCTACCTGTACACCTGAGGGAGACCAAATTTACCATGCTAATTATGAAAAGTATGCACTAAAAGTGCTTTTTAAGAAATTTTGATTGATCCTCTCTTTTCTAATTTATAGACTTTGAAAGTGAAAATTCCCTAATATTTTGATGTAATTTCCCGTTTTTATAGATAAAATCAACATTAAGTGTCTGAAGAAAAATCCCTGACTCCATGCTGTAGTACTTTGTTCAAGTGTTATAATGCCATCAAAAGCAAGTTTATAGCTGTCCAGGTGCCTGAGAAAATCAGGTGTATAAAAATGGTGTTTTTGTCCCCAAAATCCCGATATTACGTCACACGATGAAGTTAGAGCTGTGTTCCAAGCATAATTAGATATTTTGAAGATACATTAAATGAATGTGACAGGAATAAAAAAGCCAAGACCTTTATTTTAAGAGAAAATCTCAAACCTACATTCCCACCTTAAGCCGGTTAAGTTGATAACAATTTAGTGAGACTCCCCAGGGAGATAGATCGATCCAAATATCTGGGGGAATGGTTCCTAAATTTCAAGTCTGATGCTTGCCAGTAAGACGAAAATGAACCTGGCATGGATTCCACTGGACACTCAGGGTATTTATCCTGGCTGCATACAAACTTGGTTTGAAACAACTAACCAGATATCTTCAATCTTATAGTAGCCTAAATGAGATTCAAAATAGCTCTGCTATGATTGGATAAAAGTAAAGCATCTCAGGTTGGTTATTTAAATTTCCAATGTCATGTAAATCAACAGACTGAGAAGAATATGTCATAGTCTATGCTCTCATATAAGTAACAAAAAAGTTTTAAGTCTTTAAACAGTGTATGAAATGGCCGCCAGCCCGCCAGCCCGAGGCTGGTAACTTTCAGGCCGGGCGGATAAGATTTACAAATTACCCGCCCGATGGGCTGGCTATTTTTACAGCCAATATTCACCTTTTATTTTGTCTATGTTCACAAGTGATTTCAGCAAAATATCAAATCAACTAACTGTTTTCACCCACTTTCATAGAAGCAATTAAAGAACTAACCATAGCTTGCAATCGAACGCTCGTATCGAAATGTAACCAACAGTCTCCCTCTCAGTGGCCTCGTTTTCAAAGTTCCGTCTGTGTGATATCAAGTTGAAAGACAATTTGAAACGAGGCACATTGATCTTAACCAGCTTCAGTGCACAGCAGATAATGTTACGTCATTGTTTTGTGTAGAGATACCACGAGTAGCAATTTGTAGGTTGAGAGTAATAAAAATGTGAAAGTATAAAAAGTTATGATATTGATTAAATAGACTTACAGGTACATGAAGTGCTTATAATCAACAGTAATAAAGGCAACAGAAGCAAATTAAAGGAGAATTTTACAAAAAATTTGAATCCCAAAATTATGAGTGAACGTACGAGTTTACGCCGTGCATCAGATGTAGTTCTTTTCCCACGTGCTTTCATCTTGGGCTGTCAAAAATGAAAAAAAAAATTCTATCAAGTCCGATAGAGAAGTTCACAAAAGAAAAACAATTGAGGGAAGAAATAAAAATAAGAGAGATTACGACAGAACCAAACGAAAGAGAACAAATTGGGACCCATGGAAAGGTGACTTCGATTTGCAATGAGTCGAGCGGCAACATTTTTTGTAAAACCGTAACTCAAAAGTATCACGCATTGCGACCGAGCGCAAGCATCTCGATCCAATAACTCGCCCATACTCGTCCCATATAATATATTGTAGCCTCTGTGTGACATAGCTATTCTCAATAAGCGATGCTTTCGAGATACGAGGCCCTGCAGGACTGTCTATGGGCCATTAGCGTGCAGGACCGTTCCCGACCGCTTTAAGCGATATCCAAAGGGATCCTACGTGCTGAATTCTTTCTTCTTTATTGTCAGCACAGAGATCGATTTATTTGACAAGAATATATAT